GGCCTAGTGATAGGAGAGAGCTTTTACTCGGCTCATTTCCAGATGCCCCTCGAGTTGCACCTTTAGAACAAACAGCAGAAGTATTCATGCTGTGTTGAAAGGTCCTTGCGTGTATGGATGTATCTCGCAGCGGTTGTGGGCGGCCATGCTTAGAGGGAGAGAGCAGTCTTCAGCTGTCGCGTGGAAACTCTTTGGCGGTGACCGGTAAATGACTTACGCAATCAGCGAAGACGGGGTTAACGTCCCTGAGCATCACGAGTCTTCGGCGCTGCAATCGGTTCAGCAGTCTGTAGGTACTATTTTCTAGATCCAAATATTGGCTAAAGTGGCTTGTGGTCCGTGAGCAGTCCATAGATATAGCGATCAAATTTCTAACATCCATTTGACCGTAGTTCTTCTCCATCGTAATTAGAGCAGCTAACGTGGTAGACAGCTTTCTCTGTTATGTCCCAATATCGGTAGTGACTGTTCCGATTCCATAGTCCGGAGCGCGACCACGACGATGATGGGGGTTGTAGTGGGCCAGAAGCAGGTCTAAAGTTGGCACCTCCTTTGCGCGTTCAAAGACTGCTCCACATTCGCAGTTCCAGTTGAACGGGGCTTCTTTCTTAGCACTGCGCTGAGCGTGGGCAGTGTTGGCGGGGCTCTGAAAACGAATGTTCCGTAATAATTGATAACTGTGGGGAAAGACTGGATCTAGGCGGTATCCTCCGGTGTTGGTATCTTGGAGATGGCGTCGATCTTCTTTGGATCGGGTCGGCGTCCCAGCAGTGATGACGTTCCCGAGATAAATGGGCTGTGTCATCACGAAATGGCACTTGTTGATGTGGACACGGGAGTAGTAGCCGGATATCATCGAGAATAGGGCTTCCACATGGGTTTTTGTTTTTTTTGACGATGCCGTCGTCGCTCTCTCTCTCTCTCTCTTTAGGTAGAGAGGCACAGCGACGCACTTGAGCTCGCAGAGTCTATGGAGTCGATAACTTGGCCTGGAAGAGTGCCAAGAGCTGGCCTGACTCCTAAGCCACGGTGACTGTACATTAGAGATCTTGTTGCGGGGTGTTGGATGGTGAAGAGTATGTTGGATTGGTAGACGTGTACGTAATCGCCAGCGAAATCGATTTGTAGAAATGGCTCCTCCTCCCGGGTGGGCGATTGTGCAGCAGTAGTGTATTGTGAGTCCTGTAAACGTCCGCCGCGACTCCGGTTTTGGCCCTTTCTGAAAGTCGAACGCGCAGCCAATCGCGAAATGACGGCTCATGAGCGGGTCGTACTGTCGCGTCGAGCAAGCGTACGTAGGCCGTAGGACGGCAGTCTGCTTGTTGACAAGAAAAACGGCGACACGGAGTTCGAGGTGGAGCGCTGGCCTTGGCCTTGGTGCACCATCCAATTGCGGGCTTGAAGACATCCAGAACTTATGATTCACCTAGAGGATCGTCTGCTTATGAACCTGCACGCTGAATCTTCTAGAAACTGGGCTGAATTCCAAATTACCTGTCTTTGATCATTGTGATATTGAAAAAGGTCGTCGTCTGAGTTGGCTTGGGCTTGGTCGAATTTTCTTTGTAGTGGCCATCCATTGGCTACTTCAAAAACGTCAAAGTTAATGAGGTCTTCCGATCGAGTTTGGACGAGAAAACATAGAGACGTGTTCAAGTGAGACGAATGGGTTGATGTAGAATTCCAGGTGTTTTTGGACTCCTCGTAACGCATTGGTACCAGGTGCGCGGTCAGATTGCTTCATGCGACGTCGTGAGTGACGGACGGTGCTTCTTCCTCTTCTGGGCATGTGGCAAGAGACTCGTAGTTTAACCGCGCTGTGGGCGTCGCGTGCGACGTCGCGCCCGCAAATGACGATGGTTACAGGTAGATGGCGACAGTAGGCAATTCAGAACCGAAAATGGTCATGAATGTCTACAATGACGGGGTCTACATGAAGTTCGGTGCTCCAATCGACAGGTTAATATGTGTTAAGAAAAAAAAATCGTAAATCGTAAGAAAACGCCGCGCCCATGGCCGCGCGCGGCGGAGCGGCCAATTACGATTCTCTTGCCCGTTAGGGCGTTTCTGACAGCGCTTGATGAGTTCGCTTTACTTTTTTCGCTTTATTTGCTTAGCACCTTCACATCCGCATTTGAATCCCACCATCCACGATTTTTGATGCGTCCCGGGGTGGTAGGTACCGCAAGTGTCTTGGCCACTATCATTCAAAATTACTCGACAAATCATGTTGCACTTTCGAAAATCGGTTGACTTGTCGAAATATCATGTCGGGCTCACCACTCAAGTAACTTGCCCACCAAGGGAGCACTCCGAGGCGAGAAAATGAATTTGACTCGACTCGAATGCACAGCTCTTGGGAAGATAATCGAAAATGTCGGCAGAATTCTTTAAATCACAGCTGCATGCATACCTTTTCCTGTCTAACATTGTATGTAAGCCGTAGAGCGATCGCGTGGTCAAAGTGACCCTGACGATCAACGAGATGAGGGCGGCCTACGAGTGCTCCAAAATAGATGGGCTCTGATCCTTTCCATCCGATAGGGTAGGTGATGTTTACCTGCAAATCGAGTAAAGTTAAAAATATGCGACAAATGCCAAACGTCGCACTTTCCAGTATCCCTTAGGTAAAAATTTTATCGTGCGTCATGGCAATGAATCTCAGAAAAAAACAGGAACGAATCAAGGTGATCCTACAAGAGGTAAAAATGTTGCACCTTGTTGTGGGCAGGTGAAGAATGGGTAGCGCGTATTTACCGGATTTTACCGGTTTTCTTTTTTGTCCCGAAGCATAAACTTTCACTTTTTCGTTCCTTGCGGTTGGATGGCACCTGGTATCTGTAACCAACGGCCGAAGCAGCCAAACCGTTCGGTGTTGTTATTGCGCAGGTGCTTTTTGGGGCATTGCAATTGACGGGGCGGTGAGCGGGGGGAGTCGCCTTAATAGGAGAACCACAGTGGTTGGGTATCTCCGCCTATTTTTCCGTCCATCCCAGTCATGTGTTATGTGCAGTTGAAAATAATGAAAACCAAAATCACACGTCACGCCTAGCCGAGCTCGTTCATTTTGCATTATGTGAAGTTCTAAATTCTTCAAAGACCATACCTCACTGTTGATGATGTCACTGGCGAATTCAGCGATGGGACCACTGAAGTTTCCCCAACGAGTCTTAGGCATTAGCATTGTAAGGTGATCATTAAGATAGCAAGCCCAGTCAAACGACATGCAAAGATCAGTGTAGGCCGCCTGAATGGCAATATTCAATGAAAACAGAATGATATGTTTGATATAATAATAAGGAGTTCCACTCAAAGACATGTTCTTGCGATCTAGGGTAGGAGTAGAAGGTGCTCAGTCATGAACCAGTAGCTCATAAGTAGCTCCCCAGAAGAGAGAGAAGCGAAAAAATCTTGAGAACATTATGAACAGAGACCCCCTTTAGCAGTGTTTGCTTTGTAAGAGTATCTTGGACGTCAGCAAGAAAATCCAGCAGGATTCGACGTGCAACCGATTCCCTTCGAAAGCATAGAAATCGCCCTACGACGCTCCAGGCAACGCTATGTACACACGCGATTCCGCTTGTAAGCCGTTGTCTTGCAGAGTGAAAGTAATCGTGGTTGCAATGGTTGCAATAATCACGCGTCTCTAGCTTCTTTATCTCGCCGTTTCGAGTGACGAAAGTGGTTCATTCTCTGCCAGTGCGTGTGCCACCAGAGTCCCAAATGCAGAGGCATTTCCCGGACCACTTGCTCGCGGGAGCTGTCTTTAAGCATGAGGGCTGTCAACATGCCTCAGTTATTTAGCAGGAGTCTATGAAGGGAATTGGAAGAGAGATGCCTATCCCTATCTCTCCCAACCTTAGAACTTGGAAGTTAAAAGCTTTCCATGAATTACCTGTTCGCAATGTAACGCTCTGGCAAAATTACAGTTTTAAAAAATAACAGTTCAAGTGTGGAGATCTGTGCCTGCAGCTTACCTCGTAGTGCTTCCCGTCAATATCAACAGGTACAGTAATATTGTGGATTATATACTGATTAATCCGTGCAACTTCGTCCAGATACTTCAATGCGAGTATATTTGGACGGCCGTACTGAGGATGCTCCTTCCCAGCGACTGGAACCAACATATGAAAAGAGAGAAGAGAAGAAGTGAAAGTATATGAGTGCACTTGCCGATAACGTCCATATATCCTTTGAGATCG